GTGCTAGCAGTCAGGCTAGTGCTAGCTGTCAGAATGTCTGCAGTGAACCAAACGTCGGTTCCGCCGTCAGTGTGTTACCCGTTGATGCTCTCTCTGCTGTGTGTAAGCTAACCACTCATGCTAGCAGGCTAAATAAACCGAGACTCCGGTTTAGCTCCGAAAGCCAGCCTGAGCTCGGGCCGCGTAGGAGGACCAGTGTTCGGCTGTGAAGGCGGATCTTCGTCCGGATTCATCTCCAGATTGTTAGCATGCTAACTGCTAGCAGGGGTCAATGACTGCAGAGCTGTGAGGTTCATGAGCGGCTGTTCCAGGCCGGTGTGCCCCTCCAGACCTCTGCCCCGGCCCTGCTGCACGTCTGTCTGACTGCTTCACTGACTTGGTGAACTGAAAGTGGACCATAGCAGTCCTCCATCCTGTAGTTCAGTCAGGTCCCTGCTGGTGGTACTGACCGGAGTCACGGTTCTACCTGTTTCATAAGTTTAAACACTCAGGTTAAGACCCTGCAGTATTTGTAATGATGCAAGCGTACCTGACAGATTTATTAATACATGTAAACCCTAAAATAAAGTTAAAAATCAAGTGAACATAAAAACGTGAGCTTTTGAAGCTCTGAGTGTGTGTTGTTAGTTTTGTGTTGTGTTCTAGAGCCAGGCTCAACATATCTAGGATAACCTTTAGTTATCTGGCTTAACTTAACCTACCAACCTGATCTGGATAAGTCAGTAAGTCAACCAGTTTCTCCATCTGTCTGAGCGTGCTCACATGAAATAGGCGGAGCTACAGTTGACCAATCACAGACAGGGACAGGTGACATATTTTACAAATAGACAAACTGTAATATTAGAGAAAAATCAGGATTTAAAGCCCATAATACAGACGGAGGACCAAGCAGACTGAATGTCAGCAGGCTCGTCGGTATCTCCTCCAGATCATCAGGACGTCATGGATCTGACCTTCGTTCCAGCTGATCTGTTCATGAACGTGTTGCTCTGCTCTGTTCTGATAGCAGCCCAGCCGTGTCCAACGCTGTAAAGAAAGAACATCAGAACAGAACTCAGAGCGATAGGATCCTGACTCTCATATAATGTAGAAGGTTATGTGGCCAGACCGTGTATGACCTTCTACAGAAGATCATGGAGAAGCTGCAAGAAGCCTCAGACTGTGAAACCATGATTGATCTGCTGCTCAACATCAGTGTGTGTCAGCTGCTTCGATGAAGGTTTGTTCTTCAAGATTCAGTTGAATTATGGTCATGAATCAGGAGACGAGCTAATGAAGCAATAACCCGTCACATGAATCTGGAGATGTGGACGATGAGTCTCACCGTCGGCCTCGGCTGTCAGACACTGGTTTGGTTTTGGCAGCGAGGACAGAACAAACGTAAACTTCAGACCTATGAACAGGTTTGTTGACTGTCATGAGGTCAGCAGTCGGCTGTGAGGCTTCAGCGCTTTAAAGCAAAGACACGGAGCAGTGAGATGGTTTCAAACCTCTGATCTCCTCTGACCGTCTGAGGTAAAGCTCCTCCTGCTGACGTCTGACCTCAGGTACCATCGGTTACCGTGGAGACGTCCACCCCCAGCCTTAGACCTCCATAACCTGCTTCACAGTGCAGGACTCTGGAGTTCTGGTCCGACTGGAGCTGAGTGTTTGTTCACTCCAGTGACCTTCAGTCTTCCCTGAATGTCCAGTTGCTCCACAAGCTTGTGTCCCTGTTCAGCTGCACGCCCAGTAGAACCTCAGCCGTGGTGCTGTTCTGCTCTCTGTTGTCATGTTACGCCTCCCTGTGGTGGTTTTGTGTCTCTTTGTGGTGGTTTTGTGTCTCTTTGTGGTTGTTTTGTGTGTCTTTGTGGTGGTTTTGTGTCTCTTTGTGGTTGTTTTGTGTGTCTTTGTGGCTGTTTTGTGTCTCTGACGTTTACAGACTAAAAGAATCTCAGTGCCGGTACATAAACGGGCCGACAGTGAGTGTGCAGCTGCTGCACATTTAAATGTCATGACCCGCTGAAAGACGCCCTTCATGACAGGAGCTGCTCCTCCAGCCTACAGCACCGGGAACAACATGGCTGCTCCACATGCTACAGACACGCAGCTATTTGACATCACGACACGTCTGAGAAAGGATTTTGTCATGTTTTGGTGGAAGCTGATTTTTGGGGTTTGAAACTAAAACAAAATCAAACAAGACACTGAATGACTTCAGCCGGATGTTAAACTTCAGGATTTAATTGTTCGAGCTGCAGCGAGCCGTCAGATAACGAAGAAGGACAATCAAATGATGGAGAGAAACCTGGACAAAGTCAAACCTACACACGGTTAAATCCATGTAAGATTAAACACCCAATAAAGTCACTGGAAAATAAAAACAAAGTGACGATTACATTAAAGTCAAAGATCTTTAAGAAGGAATAAAATTAACGTCAAGAAAAATAACATCCAACTGATTATATAGAAAATGTAATTATATTAAAGTGACATTAAAGATTAAAAATACAGAACAACAAAAAAATAAAGAAAAATAAGATATAATAATAAAAACGTGATAATTGCAGCCAGTAAAAAAACCAGTCTGAACACACAGAAGTGAGCATGTGTTCAGAGCGCTGAGCGGTCCGGGTCAGAGGTCCGGGTCAGAGGTCCGGGTCAGAGGTCCGGGTCAGCAGAGGGAGTTCAGCAGGTGAGGCTGAACTCTGAGCTGCTGCTGTAACTCATGGTTCTGAACATGCAAACAGAGGAACTGGACTTCACTGATGTAGCTGTGAACTCCAGCTTCAGCCTCTTTCTGCTGAAACTACAAACTCATTGATTATTGGTAATCAATCACTGATGAAGTTTGATCCTGAACGGCTGCTGGAGTTTTCAGACAAAAGCAGCTTCAGTCAGAGTTTCTCACATTTCAGTCGTTCAATCGCCTCTTTGTGGTTTTGGGTCT